TGTAAAGTAGAGATATTGTGCGAAAAAATGTTTAGAGACCTAATAGGTTCAATGCATTTATACTGCGTTGTGACTTCAGATATACGACAACGAATAACGTCGTTAAAAATGTCGGAGGATAACACAACATTTCTTTGCATTAATGTTACCTTGCCTGTTAAATTAATATCGAGCGATGGATCTTCTGGAAAAGAAATGACTGTGATAAAATAAATGGGGCTTAAAGAACGGATTCAAAGACAATAAATTACATTGCTTGGATTTTCTTCTAATTTAAGTTCTTCCTATCATCGATGATGCATCGGGAAACAATAATTGCAAATTACATCGTTAATTGGCAGTGAAGAGTTGCAATAATCTGAGAGAAGTCGAGCGTATAATTTATCTTAATGAAGTGCAATGGCTTACGCATTGTCTTCCTACTAAGATGACTCAAATGGAAATTGTAGTTTGCTTTCGAGTTGAGCTATTTCAAAAATCTTTATATAGGTGTTGTTTTTCTTTTAAACCATTAGAGGACATAAAGTTGACTCTGAGAATTTTCTTGCAGAAAACATATTCTGCAAGTACATGACAAATGAATGTCGGGAGAAGTGTAAATATTGTTGATTTCACTTCGTAATTGTTAAACGTCTAGTGGAGTTTCCGTATGCAGGCAAGACGATATCATATCATTACTAAAAAAATGCAACATGCTTCCCAAAAAAAATGCAACATGCTTCCCAAAAAATGCAAAAATGCTTCCCAAAAATACTGGATTCAGCAGATAAATAGTAATACAGGATCTGAGTGGGAAGACATCAAGAATTGTTTTTAATAGATTGAGACACCCGTATATAACGCCTGTACATCTTGTTCAGGAGGGCGACACACAATTGTTTGCTTACAACGTTAACTCTTTTTGTGCAAAATGGAAAGTTTCAATTAATATTAGGTACTAAATAATATAAAATATTAAATGCACTGGCTTTCGTTGCAAAAAGCTGCCTGTACATGCGCTCCTGTACTCAGTACCTTCGTATGAGTCACCAGACTGAGCTACAGCGTTACATCTCTATTACCCAGGCATATGACGTTGAAATAAAGTTGGTTTTGAGTTGATTTCGTTGTAAGTTCAACGTTTAATCAACGTTATCTCAGTTTTGGAGGCCTGTTGAGTTAAAGCAGATACGTGTCGTAAAGTTATTCGTTAAACAATTTTTTATAATTTCGTTATACAATCTTTTACGCCGCCCGAGGCGTGAAGCTGCACAACGGAGCCGGAGTGACCAAGCTGTCCGTGACAGCGGAACAGGCAGGGCGCGATCGAGTGGCTTGAAAGATTGGCTCCGCTGCAATATTGGCCGCGTGCGCCTCGCCGGAAAATTCCCAACTTTTCAGGAATATCCGCGTCTAGCTTCTCCGACTTTCAAGCTTGGTCTTTTTATCGTGAAGAATCGCGCTCGTTTATTATATTGTCAGGGGTCTAACTCGTGGAGAGGTTATTGGTGAGAAAAACGGAATTCAACGGGGAAATTTTTAGGTCACACAGATACGCACAAGAATATTAATTACGAAATGTTTGGAGAAAGGGAGAAATGATGAAAGAACAATTGAACAATGTTAATTGGATAGGAGATAATTTTTTGTTGATTTAAAAAATATTGGCTTTGAAGTGTCGAGGCCCGTTTATCTTCTGAAGGAAATTTCCGACTCAACTTCACAGGGATATTAAATAACTTGAAGGTATTATCATTTATTTTACTAAGAATGCATGTCAGTAAAAATGATTCCTCCCGCATTAAAGTCATTAATTAAATAGAGTTGTGGTAAGGAATAGTTTATGTGTTTAATTATAATTATTAATTATTACCTCTAATATAGTAAATTACGAAACGAAATTCACTTACGTGCTAGAACCTCGTGAGCATTTGAGCTTACTTTTTAGGCTTATATTCATAACATTTAAAACGGAAATTCATACGCGTCATTAAAAACAACCATTCGTATTGCCACGAACACACGTGCCTGGTTCGTTTACAGGACTTAAATTGCAAGGTCGTTTTTTGTCCATAGCGACGGCCTTGAAGTTGAAAGTTTACTGTAAAGACCGCCTCATTATTTGGGAGGCAGGAGTGCTGAGAGCTTCTCATATGCACTAACTTACAGATTCAAACTCACGGTCGTTCCTTTCTAGCGCCCCTAAAGAGGCGGCGCATTTCGGGCGAATGGCGTACTAAAGCGCCCTGATCAACACGACACTGAAAATGACGATATTTCCTCGGATAAACTTCCCTAAACGCTCTGGATGAGCTCTCGAAGACCTTAAAATATTTCCACTGTTGTGCTTTAGGGACAAAATCCTAGGGTAATCCTACGTTAAATTCAGGGTGGAGAAGGAAGTTGGTTTCAGGTGTGAAGCAGTAAGATCGTTGTAGATAACAAGTTTATATGTGGAGAAGAAAAAAAAGCTAGTTGCAGGCCTAATTTTGTATAATCCTTAGCCCTTCATACAAGTTATTTGTCGCGCGTAATTTAATCCGAGAATAATAATTTGACGGCTGTGAGTCAGAGTCAGGACGTAAAATTGTCCGACACGTGAAATGCAAAGAGTCGCAATTAGTGGTTGACTTTGTATGTGATCAGCATTCATGACCGAGATAATATGGTTAATCATATTATTTAAAAACTAATTAGGAAGAACATCAAATTATTTTAAATGCCTTGAAGTAAGAAACCAGTGTTAACACCTAAAGAGCCCTGAAGCATTACTCAGTTTTTAAAACCCATTGCATGAAAAAAATGCCGGAATTAACTATTCTACAAGTAGCGACAATTTGACGACAATCCAACAGAGTTTGTAGTGGGTATAAAGGCACATTCTAATGGCTGAGGGCTGCATTATAATGGCAGTGGGCTGCATTATAATGGCAGTGGGCTGCATTATAATGGCAGTGGGCTGCATTATAATGGCAGTGGGCTATATTATAATGCAGTGGGCTGCATTTAGACAACTTCAGCGAATGTAACTTGATCTGATAGTTTGAGGAGGGAGTTACGGGCCACAAGGCCACGTTGAAATGCTACATAATAACGAGCTTCAAGGACTAAGCGCAGAACGCGCTCAATGTCACAATCGATATTGCAAAATTATCTGAACGCAAAAAAACAATAAAAATAAAAATGCAATTTCCCGGTTTGCCAGTATTAAGCAATGGAACTGGGCTTCTAAATATTGCTTTTAATCACGCATGTTGGGAAAAATTGGTTTATTAAGTACTAGACTACTAGTTTATATTTCGTGGATATTCGTCAATATATAATTTCGCAGAACATGTCGATTAAAAGTGAACACTGTTTGTATTAAGAACTTAAACAATTTAATGAGGCATTGCTTCTCAACGGCTGTTACGATTTTATCAGAAATATATAATACAATTATGTAGTTTCAAATTCGTTGCGAAACTGGAACACGAAGAATTCGTTTCGATATAGTTCAGTGTATTTGTTTCATGTTGAGCGTAAATCGTTTTTGAAACAGGAGAATCATGAAAAAAATAACGCAATGTTTGACGCCACATATCAGTCTTGATGAAAGGGTATGTGAGATTTTATTAAAAAATATCAAACGCAGATAGGAAAACAGATAATCGGAGGAAAAACTACATGCGGAGTATTAAATAGTACATAGAGCTATAAATTATAGGTTACGGCAAGCAATTAGTCCACGCTGTATATAAATTCGGCAATGTAGTGAAATAAGAAGGCTTTTCTAATACACCCCGTGTTGCTAGGCAGCATGTTATTGGATTTCATGTTTTCGTATAATCCAAATAATTTTCTAATGTTCTTATCACAGCGGGGACCATTTTGTGCTGCTCCACTCGTGCCGTTTTGTTTGTCAGATGTGAATAACAGAATGCAATTAAGTTGCCGCAATGCAATAAAAAGTTTACAGGCTTCTCGGCTCAAATTATTTGCAAGAATTTGTAATATAATAATTGTTACCATACATGTTTTTGTGCTAATAAATACGGTTGAGGTTATCGTAGTGAGGTTACAGTTCCTAGAATTTCGATAGAATAAACTTAGAATTTAATTTTGAATTTTCATGCTATGCGACCATTAATTGGAATTTTCATTGTGTTTTCACCATATTCAGGTGTATGAAAGACAATCAGGCACGGCAAGGTCACACAGGTTGTTGTCATGTGTTGCACAAAGCATGTAATGCAGTGATTCATAATTTTGCATCGTTAACTTAATGACAATACCGTATTTAAATTTATTTACATGCATCATCGCAATAAAATTAGATCAGTTAAATTATGATTCATCACTCAAATATTAGATTATTTCTTATGGTCTAATTATATTATCTATCGCTTTAGAACTACACTATATTTATGCGTAGAATTGTAAAGAGGTTTCTTCTGATCAAAATGAGTCTCTGACCATAAACTTATTTATAATCTGCATAAATACTGAGTTAATGAATACTGCAATTCATTAGTAGAACGTAATACAGGTGAGGGGAGCGATGCAAAAATTCAAAAAATTTCACGAAGTAATTGCTCGTTCACTAGAAAAGAACATCGCTTTCTTGTTGGTAAACTAACTTTATTGTTTGGCAACAAAATTTATTGCTAAACTAGCTATATTTATTACTGCATTGTGGCTGCACTGGATAAAACAATTGTAAAGGCATTTTCTTTGGTTGTACAACTTATAACAATTAATTTTCCTATTAAACCTTTTGTCTTGGAATTGTTTTCATTTACGCAAAATGAATGATTATTTTTTATACAAATAAATAAATATTTTATTTATGAAAAAACAAATCCAGCTAAAAATCATTAACTTATATCCGTGGGGTTACATTTGATTTTTTCATGGTGAGAGTCTTATTTCATTATCACCTCAATATCAACGTTATTTTGACATGACGTTGATAAATTAGTAGTATAGAAATGGATTTAATATATGGTAAATGGTTATTATTTAATTCGTTTACTTCGCAGGTTATGCAGCAGAGAGACGGCGACTCAATCGTCAGCACAAGGGCTCCGGCATCCGTGAGTTGAAGGACAAACCCGCTAGATTCCCTGAATTTTTAATATCGATGACTTAGAGATGATATTGTTCTCGCGAAAATTATCTAACATTTCCAGTTGCGCAGACTAATGTCATCACTCTCCCAGAGATTTCTTATTTGTCTCAGCTCGAAACGTAATCTCGACTAAAGTGAAAACTCATCATCTAAATACATATATGCTAATTTTCATCTAAATACGGTAGGCGTCTTTATTAATGCTCTATCCTCGTACAATATCAATTAAAATGCAAGCCAAACATTTAGATACGAATGTGTGAAATAAGTAAGTTATATGAAGTTCCGGTCAATGTCCTTAAGGTTTTTTAAAATCACATTTTTATTTACGAAATTACTGTACTTAACGTTATGTGAAGCTTTGATCAATATTCTTTAGCCAGCTTCATAAAACTCGTAAAGTTACTTGAAAAATAAGACAGCCTGTAAATTTAATGTTTTACTACAAGCCAGACTTCACCGTTACTACGCGATATTCAACAATGATCAAATACTTTTCAGCCATCGTCAGGTTATTTAAGAATCCAAAGCAATAATTTTATTACAACGCAATCTTTTTGCTTTGCGGTCCCGAAGAATGTTTTAAGACCGGCCATTCATGCCTCGTTAGCCGGACCGCCGGACCCATGCTCCGCCGTATTGATGCCACGCCGGAAACCTTCGACCGACCGACCCATTCGTAACCGTCGATTTACCGCAGATCTTCCTCCATGTTTTTGCCACCCTGGAAAATTATACCAAAATATGATAATGAGCGACCCGTGTTAGAAATGAAATTTCCATCCATTAGGCCTAATATCCAGTTTCCACGGCGAGGAAGGCGGCTAAAAATATGGGAGCAACGGGAGCACTTTTTAATAGAAATATTTAATGTCATTAATTCAGAAATTAGTTCTATTCTCAAATGTCTTGCCTATTTTTGAGGAAAAAATATGAATTATACTGAAAATGTTCGGAGTCAGCAAGTTTGTTATTGACATATTCTTATAGTTTTCATTTGCTAAATTTATAAACTTGATTGAAACTCATTCATACAGTGCGGCAGAAATTTTTTCATGGTCACAGCTGGATATTCGGCAACTGGCCACTACCCTGGAAAAATTTTTGAAATAAATTGAAAAAACTCCTATGCGAAGCACTGAGGAGCATGCAGAAAAGATCGCGGAGTGGCCATCATTTTCAACTAAATGCCCCCAATTCATTGTAAGAATCTTCCCTCGTTCGAGTAGCGCTTTAACAGACCGTTTGAAATTCAATCCAAGAAGGAAATTCTCCTTAAGAAAATGATCAGTTTACGAACAATTAGAGCTCCTTTAGAGGGCCTCGAAAGATCGGGTGTGAGCCAACGACCAAAAAATGCCAATGATGAGCGAGAAGAGCAATCGCTTGGGACTGAGGCAGTGAATTTGTGCCTATTGGAAATTTTAACTTTTTATGCGATTTAGCTACACATTTTGCTGCAATAAATATATCATCTGTCATATAATTTGTTATTGAATGCTTTCATTTTTTTCTCTGCCAAGTGAGTTTATTTTTTACGTGAGTTTATTTTTGTGTTTTCTTTTCGCTTCTGCGAGGCGGTGCTGTAGCGTGATCCAAAATTAGAGTGTTATGAGCGTCTCATTTTTGTGGCTTCACGTGCCCTGTTTAATCGCCCGCACAGCAGGCTGCAAAAGAAGCGTAAATAGCTTCTGAATCTGAAGCAATGTGGTGGGAAAATGGAATGATTTTTAATTGAACAATTTTTCTTAGTTTTTGAGTAGTTTTGAGGTTAATATAATTTATAAAATGATGCCAAACTTAATCGTAAATGTTCTAGAATGGCTTATATAAAAGTGAGTCTGTCACTACGTCCACCAAATCAAAAAGCGAACATGTCGAACAAAAATTCAGTAAATACAAAAATTGACCGTCCCGCAAATGATGAATAAATAGAAAGGATCAAACTATAATAGAGATAAAAATGTTTCTGTTGTCATTTTAAATAAGAGACTTGCCAGGTATTGTATATTTGTGAATAAATTAAGAAGAAAGCTGCCTGTCTGCGTACTTCGTACATATCGTTTCTCTTCACACTCACTGCAAAGAATTAAAAAAACATCGAATTACCTGGAATTGCAATCGAATAACAAACAATAATGATAATTCCGAATTTTATTACCGTAAATAGCGAATATCTCAAAATAGGAGTCATCAATCAAGTACGGTTGATTGTTCGATTATTGATACGTGCGCATTCAGTTGGATTTGAAAGTCATACTTTTCTCCGTGCCTAATTTAACTCATGCTTATCCGCTTATCCAATCACGGGTTGATTTTAGTGTTCTCGCGAACACCAACTTTTTTCTAGTATGTTGACGTTAATTTTATAGTAAGGGGTTAAATAATGTAAAATGTTAATGTTAAACGTTATTTTAAATGTTAATATTAAACGTTAATGTTAAACGTTAATTGGTAAACGTTAATGATAAACGTTAATGTTAAATGTTAATATTAAACGGTAATGTTAAACGTTAATGTTGAATGTTAATGTTAAACGTTAACTTAATCGTTATGCGTTAAGAGAGGCCAATGAGACAGTACGAACAAACTAAACACGCAAGATATTTCTCCAGCGTGTCACTCTGTAATGCATGCCAATTGACAGGGCATAGGTGAATTCAATTCGTTCACACTCGGTTTTATGTTGGTGACATTCGTTTTGCTTCCAAGAAACCCTGATGAAATGCCATCATCGAGAATAAATTCGCCTAAGAGTCCATCGAACTCTGCGTCGTTCCCAAAGTCCCACCCCAAAGAGTTATCGAACCTTGCAATTTGCATGAGACTTTGGCCGGGCTTGCAAAGTTCTGGAGGCCGTGGTCACAGCGCCGAACTTGGCCGCTTTACGATCAATGGCGGCCAACTTCGAAGCATTCCTGTTCTTTTAAGAGCGTCTATATATGAGAACGATATCGTGGTGGCTTCTTTCAGTTTGGTTCCTGACAGTTTGCGCCAAGAATTTTAGGACGTGTTGCATTTTTCTCAGTTTGGGATCAGTTAATGGTGCCGGAAAGGCCGTGAATCTGTACCGGTTCATTTACATGAATATTGCCTATCCCTTAAACCGGCATATCTTCAAGATCATGAAAATGCGTGTAATAACCACGTCGCAGGTCTTTTCCTGTTCGATGATAAATGCATTGCAATCATTGACAGTGCATAATTCGCATTGGTCGCTTATATAAATCACTAACAGAATATTCAGATGATAGTCGACAGAAGGGAACAGCCTAATATAGGAGTTGTTAAAATGAGTCGGCGATTTGACATCGATTGGGACTGCTACGTCCAAAACACATACTAATTAAGGATACTTAGGTTGTGATATGGGTTTTCCTTTATACAAATTCAGATGAAATAACAAATATTTATTTAAATAATATTAAATTGAAATTATATTAGTTACATTTTACGAACTTACTTAAGACTCATCTGAACTTAAAAAGCCACGAACTTTCTCAGGTAGTTTGCGATTGGATGTGGTTGAAATAGTACCATTAGTTTGACGCTAAATTTAACCTGTAATGTAACTTGCTCAGGTAAGAAAGCGATACCGAAAGGGCAGAATGCATTGATTGCTCGATTTTTGTCTCTGTCAGGACAAATAAAGATGAGAACTTCAAGTTGAACAAAATAAAACTTAACTTTGATGGGCTTTCAATCTGAAGATTGCGTGAAAAATATGGCTCCTCTCTGGCGCAGTGAGCGTTCTGATTGCATTCTCGTTGCTGCAGGTATCTCAAGTATTCCAAGTATTCTAGGATTCCAAGTGTTTCAAGTATCCTAGAACGATTCAGCCCGACGGTGAGGCTCATTCCAAATCGTATTTGTTTCAAATTTTGTTTCCAAATCTTATATAATTTTGACGAGCGATGGCTGACTTAAAATGTCGTCGCCGTGTCATCATGGCAAATCGAACTTCGGAAACTCGGAGTATTTCTCCAAACTCGGAGGCTGAAATGTGGGAACTTGGAGGAAAATTTATCGACGGTGCCAATCAGAAGCCGATAACATTAGTATTTTGTAGGATTTAGTAATTATTAACTTATTAGTTATCAATAACAGAAAATTTATATTAGGAAAGCATTTCAAGCGATAATTAGGATTGGTAATTTTACACGTTGTCTTCTGAAGGCTTGTAAAAACATTTAATGTTCCTCATATGGTGCCGTTACGAAAAAAACGTTAAATGATGCAACCTTAACAGCAATAACTTTACAGAACATTCACAAACGTAGTCTCAACAGAATGGTGCATTTATTATGACAACGTAATAAGGTAAAATTAAGAAAGTTCATACAATAACATAAAAATTTTCATATTAAACACACCCCAAGCAGCTCGTAAGCACATAAACCCATGGTAAATAAGGTTTAAATAACCTAGAAAGTGCGCAGAGGCATTTCGGTGCCGGGGTCGAAGATGCGTTAAAGTTTGTGAAGTGGCCGCTTCTTGTTATTGGAGTCCAATAATTGAACTGAAGCGCTCAAGAAATCTTCGCGTCGCTAAAAAATCACTCACAGCGGATGGCTGTAAACACAATTAAGAAACGCTCCGGAAATGGGCGAGTTTTTGGCCGTGCCAATTTTTTTGCGGTTAAAAATGAGGCCTTAGGATTGGGACAGCTTCATCTCTAAATGATTTGTGATAATTTTTATATTTGGTGTAAGTTTTCTTGGAAAAATTTGGCTGAGTTCGCAATTCTGGGAAAGAATATGAAGAATATGAATATGTGTTTACACTGCGAAGAATATGAATTCCTATTCCTCATTTAAAAATGAACTTGAAGACAATTTCAAAAAATCTCGAAGAATTGATGAACATTCCTAGCCTTGAGACTAAACCTCAGCAAATCTTATTGGGGGACGTTCTAGATGATAATTATTGAAATTACGAAGCCATAATATGAAACTTTTAACAAAA